AAACTAATTATTAAAAAAATATTCAAAATTATAAATACAAAAAAATAAATATAAATATTAATGCTCAAATGTATTCAATTTCAAGCAATAGCTGAGATGAATTATCAGATAAGTACTAAAATAACAATTTATTTTTTTAAAGTTTTTTTTATGACAGTAATTTTTTTATATATTCAACACAGGTGAGAAAATAACTGCAACAAAATTATGCATATTTATACTGCATGCCAAATTTTTGAATTAATTATTGATAATACAGTTTAAAAAATGCCAGTGTTGTAGAAATAATAGCTTTTAATATTTGTTAAAGCTAGATATGTAGCAAAGAAAAGTTAGTATTAAACAGTTTATCAACTGATTTATTGATTGATTATAAAATCGACTGATTGATCAGACTAATTGACTTTTAAATTTGAAGATTTATAAGAATTTTTCTTGTTTTTGTAATTTATTCAGTTTTTAAATAAAAAAAAGATCAAATTGATTCATCGATCAGCTAAATAGATTGACTGATAGATAAACTGATTGAGTGAATGAGTGAATGAGTGAATGAACAGTTTGATTGTTAATCTGAAATAGTCTTTTTGAATATTTATTATGCATTGCGAGAAAAAAGCTATTAAAAAAAATAATGCATTCAATTTACAAAATTGTTAGATAAATAAAAATAAACTTTTATTATTTTAATTTTTGTTTTTTGAAATATTTAGTAATTAATAGTATAATTAAATGATAAGAATGCTTGCAATTACTTAGAAGTGTCTTTTTTTTGTAAGCACAATTTTATTTTTTGCTTAGTAACGCTTTCGAAAGAAAATTACGAGAATACTTAATAAAAATTACATATTGTTTATGTTATTTTTGCAAGACAAAGTATGCAAAGTTTTTATTAATTTTGAATTTTTCTTACCAAAATTGAATATTTTTCGTTTTTTTTTTAACTTTTTCAAACTTAAGATTTTTTATTTTTTTAATTTTTTCAAATTTGAAATTTTAGATTTTAGCGAGTAAATCTTTGGTACAGTGTATGGTATGTATGCTGTGACTAAATTTGAAACTTTTAAATTTTTCATTTTCAGCCTTACAACTTGCAGATTTTTTTTTTTAATTTTCAAGTAAAAAATTGCAATTGACTTAAAATCAAATTCAGTTTTTGCTAATTTTTTTTCATTGCAAATTTAAACTTTTCAGTCTTTTTTGCCAGTTTTAAATTTGAAGTCAAAACATTTGTTCTTCTTTTTTTGGACTTTTTCAAGTTCGCAGTTGAATTCATCAAATTTTAATGACTATATTTGTTATTTAATGTGTTATTACTTGAAAAATTTTATTTTTTTATTTAAAAAACTCTAAAATTGCCTCCATTTTCCTCTTTGAATATTTTGCATTTTTGAATATTATTTACTATTTTTGATTCGTTTTCAAATTTAAAATTGTAACAATTTAGCAATATAATTGTTTCATTTACTTTTTAAACTAATAAAATAAATTGTAGTGCAAATTTATTAATTTAAAAATTGCTTGACATTTAAAATTTTAAACTTTATGCACACATAAAATGTGAAATTTAAAATTAAACAATTTTTTCAATCTAAAATTGTAATTAAAGAAATTTTTTTGTACCAAATATACAAATTACAATTACAATTACAATTACAACTAACATTTCAAATATTTTCAAACTTATTTACAATATTTAATATTATCAATACAAGTAGTTTAATCATATTTACTTCTATTTTGTTTGCATGAAAATGTGAAATAAAAAAGATGAAAAAAAAATTGTTTACAACAAAGTTTTGTTGAGCATTACGATGTCTACTTTTTGCAGCAGCCCACATTACATCGCTACTTCACTTATATACATTATTTGCTTACTAATAGCAAAACTGACTGCTTATTTTTGTAATTTATTATTACTATTCACGTATATATACACGTAAATATATACGTGTATATAAGTCATCTTTGTAAAGTTAATTATTTTTATTAGTAGCAAAAAAAAAAGCAAAAAAATCAAAAAAAAAAAAAAAA